AGAGAGAGAGAGAGAGAGAGAGAGAGAGAGAGAGAGAGAGAGAGAGAGAGACAGAGAAAATGACAGCGATGGGGAGAAAGAGCTAGAGAGCACGACTATTTACTCAAAACCAGACACCTTAGACTAGCTGATTTATCCTTCTTTCTCGTGCTTTATTACCCGTTTCAAACTGTCTTTACTGAATAATAATATTATTATACTGCTACCGAATCGACAGGAGAAATTGAGAAGATTACCATCGTTTAAATCCTCTACATTAAGTCAACTATCAGTCATTAATGCTGAACGAATTTCCCAATATCACCTAATCGCCATTGCTTGAAAATAGCATAAAATAGTCCATTTTTCGAGGAAAGGATGGGGTTGGGGTTGTTCTGATTTCTCCCTAGTTTAGAAAAACGTTTTGAAAAATATCTGTCAACTTGCATTGCGTACATGAAGGCATAATCAAACAAAATGATAGCAATTTTCTTTTCGAGTTTGTTTATAGAAACTTGATAATTATCTTTTAATTGTTCATTTTTCAGCTAGGATAATATGCTTGCCGTGACACAAGTAGTAATCCTCTTGTCATGTGATTCTGTTGTGACTCAGTTATATTTATAAAATTACTTCATCTAAACTTAAACCTTGCCTTTAGCTCAGACTTTGTTTGCACAGAGATGTATTCAAGAAGATTTTTTAAAAATTCCCGGAGATAAGAACTAATATAAGATGTATTGGATCTTTAGCGGTGGCTTCTCTATTTTCTCTTACCAGTAAGCGTTACGGGGTGCGCATCTTATACTATCTTTCTTTTGAATTGGAGATAGATAACTTGAAAGGTGGGTGAAAAGATATAGCGATGTCTAGGGCTAAACGGAAGAACTGAATATGACACCATTATGTTTTCTAAAGAGCTGTTCCTGTATTTTCAAAATATTTAAAATGAAATCGATTTTTTACGGTTGGCTATACCAAGGCAAACGGACAGTATATGATGATTATGCGAAAAGAATTACAGATAGCATTAATAAAGCCTTAAACGGTAAATCAGTGTGTACGTGTAGAGTTTGCTTTACGGTTTCTCAAAACACGAAAGAGTGGAATATCTGATTAAAAGGTTCATAGATGGTTTCATTTTCAAATACAATTAACTCGTAGCGCATAAATCCGTTCTTTTATTCAATGATAATTATGAATTTAATAAAAAAACAACTTAAGATAGGTACTGATGTACTGAAACAAAAATGTAGAATGTCCTTCTTGAAAATTTGCGAAACCATCACCATTATTTAGACCATATAAGAAGACGTACACAGCTTCGACCATGCCTGGTAGAGCCAATCCTGACTGAAATGGGCGCAACGTCCCAGCAGAAAGTCTGAACAAACTCTATGAAAATGATCCCCACACGGGGATGGAACTAACGTCTCTTGCGTGCAACCTTGAACCGTCCATGTGTCTTACAGCTACACAACAGACTGTAGTGCGAATGCTGAAAAAGAACATGTGTCTTACAGCTACACAACAGACTGTAGTGCGAATGCTGAAAAAGAACATATGTCTTACAGCTACACAACAGACTGTAGTGCGAATGCTGAAAAAGAACATATGTCTTACAGCTACACAACAGACTGTAGTGCGAATGCTGAAAAAGAACATATGTCTTACAGCTACACAACAGACTGTAGTGCGAATGCTGTAAAAGAACTGTATTGAGTGCAGTTTTGAAAAGTCTTTTTGCTACACTGCTGCACTACAACACCAGTGTGTACTGAAGGGTTTTAAAAAAAATAGATTTTTTTATAGTTGAACATTTTCACCTTTTATTTCCCCCCCCCCCTATAAAGTGGTATACATATCGATTTGAAATTCATATTTGAATCGATTGACTTACATATTTATCTATCCAGTTACTGAATATCTATGTATTCTTTCAAGTCAGTGTTCTTTATTAAATGCTTTTATATTAGTTTGATTCCAAAAAAGTAGGTATTTTTATTCTGTACTTTAAGGCTATTGACTCATATCACATAAAGCATAATACACATTTAACAAAATAAGAGACTTCCGTGAAGAAGCAGGACACTCATGTCAGTAATATTCTTTAAAGAAAGTGTGTTATTAAACAGTGTCCATTAAAAATATTCACGGCAAACAGAAAAAAGCAAACATTTTAATAATAGAAAAGCTGTCGTGATGTTAGTTTCCATAAATCTATAACAAGGCGGTATAATTACATACTGCGGTCAGTGCTCTTGTGGAGCATACTCACGAATGTAAAGCTAATAATTATAAGACCTGCAACAATGAGACAGTGAGCCTTTCATTTTTTAGCTGGATATGATGGTCTTTTCTTTCACATTCATTTCAAGTTCGCCAAATCTCCAAAGATATGCAGGAACATTTTTTTGCACAAGTTTTAAAATTGTAACATCTGTTAACTGTAGCCCCTACCTCAATTTTTAAAATGAGTTTTTCTCTGAAGAATATATTTGCAGATATGGCATTCTTTCATTATACCCTCTCACCCTGGCAATGATGACGCAGGAGTGGGGATCGTGGTGAAATTAATAACGATACATGACCCACCAACAGGTCAGAAAAGGTAAAGAAGTGTTAAAGGTTTTAGTTCACAGTAAGAAATGAGACATAAACGACAAGGAGAACTATGAAATTAAAAACAAGGAAGAGGTAGGAAATATGGATAAGAAATAACAAGGAAGATACCGAAAGAGAAAACTAAAGATTAGAAATACGAGACTTGAAATGATACTACAAATTAGGTGAAGTTAGAGAGTTGCTGCAGAAATAAGAAGTTAGATATTGAAATAAGAATCTAGAAATAAAATCTGAAGTAAGACATTGAAATAAGGATGTAGAAAGGAGATATAAGAGACTAAAACGCGAAACTAGAAATAACACGTAAACGTAACAGATTTTTAGAAAAAGAAACTAAAAATAATAAGGAAGAAATTAAGATATGAAATTTGTTAAAACAATGAGCTGAGAGACAAGAAATAAGGAATAAGAGACGATGATTAAAATGTAAACGATACAAAATGAATAAGAAAAAAGATGAGAACAAAATAGTATTATGTTCTTTGCTTCAGTCAACTTAACAATAACCCTTTGGCTAATACAGTGACCGTTTCAAGGTCTTTGGGGAAAAAGTAAATAACACTTTGAAAGTATCCTATTTTGGCAGGTGTCTTCACTGTAATATTACAATATATGGGTTTTGAATGTACCATGATTTGAAGTGGATTTTGTATATATATTGCTACTGAATGGGTATTTATTGTACCATGCTATGGAGTGTTTAAAAAAAAGAAAGATATCATGGTAGGGAGTAGTTTTGGAATGCACCGTGGCATGGTAAGGGTTTAGTGTGCGCGATGGCATGATTTAGGTTTCGAATGTACCATGGCGTAGTGTAGGTTTTAAATGTATCACGATATAGTATGAAGTCTGAATTATGCTATGTAATTCATGGTATGAATTTTTGAAGTACCATACTGTTGAATGGGTTTTAAAGGTTTCACAGAATAGTATGGGTTTTGCATATGCCATTCTTGGATCGGAAAAGTAAAGTAGAATATGACATAGCATGGTATGTTTTATGTAATATTATATAGATTTAAAAAAAAAAAGTATCACGCACGGCTTGGTATCTGTTTTGAAGGTGCCATGGTATAGTATAGGTTTTGCACAATGATTTGCAATGGGTTTTCAATGCATCATATCATGGAATGGAACTTTGAATGCACCACTGCAAAGTATGGGTTTTTGATATACCATGATATGCTGTAGATTTTGAACCTAGCATGGTATGTTAGGGGCTTTTAATATGCTATGGTATGATGTGAGCTTACATCATAATTAGCACTGTTGAGTCACCTGATGAGCAGGACCACCAATTAATATACATGTGTACACGTGACGTAGTATGTAGCAGTGAAAGAAGTATGTCAAATATACAGGGAGTATCACTGGGATTTTAATCAAAATCAAATTTAGAAACAGCAATGTTTTGGTTACTCAAAAAGACGCAAGTCACTTGAAAAAAGATCTTTAAAAGATAATATTAGCCTTTACAGAACAGGTATTTTAAGGCAATTGCAACACAGATTGGTTATATTATAACCCACGATTAGAGGTGCTACTTGAGAATAACATTCAAAGATTAGAAAGAGGAGATATGAGGACGATAGATGTTTAATGGGAAAGACTGAGCAAACCACGCCAGAGCACCTGCCAATCACACAAAATACCAAGAGGCAATCTCGAAGAGGCGATGACAGAAGGATAGCACACACTACTAGACTATGCGCTGAGAACAAGGTCATGGACAGCACGATCGTTGAAACAGCGCACCAGAGCAGCAATACTTGCATCATTAATCGGAAATTAGTACTGATCTCACTATGTCACAAGGCTCACTATCTCACAAGGCGTGAAAATACCTTGACGATTCATATTATCATGATGCCATTCAGCCATGACAGTCTTTTAACACATACAGCTTACACTGTGAACATTCGTCTGAAGAAAAAAAAGTAGGTGAGCCCGTCGTATTTCACAATAGCTCGCACCAACTTGCACAACATGCCGTGTGTCTAGTTAGTCTTAGTCGAGTAGCAAGCAAAGAGGTTACTAATGAGTTGAAGGAATGACGTCACGGTAACAACATTCATTATTCACCCCATGTCAAGCCGGGTGCAAGGACACATTAATTAGAACAGACACCTTTCTTATTATGTGCTCATAAGGAAGCCTGGGTTCAACATCAGTTCCCTCGTCTAGTCTAGTATAAAAAGGAACTCTAATGATTATAGTGCGGTCAAAAATTCGTGGCGCAACTTATCTTCAAATATCTCTTAAACGGGAGAATCATCGTCACTCATACTTTGCACAGCAGTTTGTATTAATCTGTCTTAACTTAATCGTATTTTTTACACAACAATTGTGGCTAGATTAATTTAGATTAAAAATCTTTTCATCCTAAATTGATTTAAAATACTATAAATCTTCGTCACGCGGAAAACGGGATTGTTCACAGCACATCCCTCTTCTTGCACACAATTTGAAAACGTACACGGCCTGCGCCACAGCTCAC